TCGAAACCAGGAGCGGTGTTTGTCAAGGGTGCTCTATTTCGCTATTCCTGTTCAATTTCGTCGTAGACGAAGTACTGGAGAAAGTGGTCTCCAGAACGTAGGTATTGGATGGGCAGCTGGAGAAAAGCCATGCGATTTGGAGTACACTGATGACATCGTATGCCTGTTCGAATCTATGGAAGGTGCACAATGCGCTTTTGACAGCCTAGCAAGTTCTGTATCTCCTTTCGGCATGCGCTTTGTACCTTCAAAGTGCAAAGTGATGCTACAATACTGGGTGTCATCTACCCCAGCGCTGATGCTTGATGGTCAAGAATTAGTTGTAGTGGAATGTTTCACCTACTTAGGTAGCTGCGTTTCAAATGACGGTAGTATAGTCAATGATGTAACCGCCCGCATTTCCAAGGCTCGAGCAGCCTACGCAGGATTGAAACACCTTTGGTGTAGACGCGATGTTTCGTTAAAACTGAAAGGTGGTGTATACCGCACCAGTATGCGGCCAGCTCTGCTCTATGGTTGCGAGACCCGAAATGCGCGTGGAAGATTTTCGTCGGCTTGAAGTATTCGACTGCAGATGTTTACGTAGTTTGGCTCGGGTTGGATGGAGCGAGCGTGTAAGCAGCCCTGGGGTAAGGCGTATTTGGTAATGATTCGATGGAGAATTCGTTGTCTCGTCGAATTCAGATTAGTCGGCTTCGCTGGTTAGGACACGTACGGCGCATGCCCAGTGTCGGTGTCTCCCGTCTTCCAGGTTGGGGTCCAAAAGACTGNGTTGGGGACACTGAAGGACATGGCGACAAGCCGACCAAAGTGACGTTCTTGTGATTTCTTATCAGGTCCGAATGCTTGAAAAGGTATCTATGCCCACTCAGATTGTGTACCCTGTGTGTTGACCATAGAAGTTCACTTTCTTTGTCTCCCTCCAATTAAGCCCAATCTCTTTCGGTCTTGTGCTTTGTCACTTGATTTGTGTACATTGTGAAATTAGGACCGATCAATGGAGCTTGCTTCATCGTATCTCGCTGTACGAAGATGTTTCTAGGCTGTAGGCATATTACTTCCTGGTTGCCCTGACGGAGGAAGGGGAATAACCTCGGGGTCCCCACCCGAAGCATTTCACTGGAAAGCCGAACCTGCAAAGCAACAGGACGGAGCTCAGTCAGCAGTCCATTTGGAGACGGTGTCCAGTTCATTGGATAATACGGCCTTTGGACGGGCTCAAACGTCCACGGTGCCCAATATACCTCGATGCCCAATCGAGCTGGTGACCACTGCCACAACCGAAAAGGTGCGGGTGAGTGTGGTTCGTAGGCCTCCTCATGGTTGGTTTGGAATCTGTTTTTTGACAGACCACCTGCCATCACGACTAGACTGCACATTGACGATGGTTAGCTACACAGTGATATGGCTGGGTGTCGCAAACAGTGGCGCTCGTGCATCCACTCGTTATTTTCCTAACACCACTGTATGTATTCCCCATCTTCCGCTTGAATTTGCTTCGACATTCCAATCTTTATTTCGCTCTTTTATCCAAATGGGCAACCAAAACCGGCGCCCGAAAGTGCATGGTTAATGGTTGTAAAAACTGAAAACTGCACATTGACGTGGTGTGATGGCTTGTGCACCTCTCTGACCCAACGAGCTACACAGGATGGCTTTTGTCAAGTCAGGAGATCTTAGGCCTGAAAGGTCGAAAGATAGAGGTCAGACAGTCCAATCTGCTGGTCCTCCAGGTTTGGGATTCGACTAGAATATGCGTTTCAGTGAGTAAAAAATGGTTGAAGAGTGCTCGATCCAAGTAAATGGGCCTCCTCTTTTGCTTCACTCTCTGCCTTGCGGTTAGGTTCTTGTCAGAACTAGAGGCTTTGAATGGGAACCCCAAAGGTTCTGCTTAATGGCCGGACACCCCAGCAGTACCCGTCCGTCAAACCCCAATGCATACACAGCCAAAAAATAATTTCATACTGCATCGATCGTCGCGCAGGACAGTCCAAAACGTGCTACCCGTTTGCGCCAAGCGGGGTGGGTAGTGACAAGTGGGCTACTGCTCAGATATCCCAACCTTTGTTTACTACTTTGATTTCCTACCCAACCCTTCGTTTGCCCCCTCTTTGAACCTGTAAAAGTCCCTGAAGCAATTCGGATGTCGCTCGCCAAAAGTCGTTGCCCTGTAAGTAGTTCATCATGAAATAGATTGTGAATTCTAAAGCCTCGTCAGCCACTGAATCTGGGGGCCTTCAACTTGAGGACTTTGTTGCAGGTAGGTCAACAAGCTTGTATGGCGCGTACAATGGAACCTTAGAGATAGATGTTTGCTGCTTATCGTAAATTTGAATTCAGGGTCCAACTTCTATAAACCATTTCGGCGCGCCAGATTTATCCTCAAGGTAAGTTCTTCGCACATCAGGCGACGACGGAGCGCGTTCAGTAGGTCGACGCGGGGTATGTATTGTACTCAGTAACAGAGCTGAGTCCTCTCTTATCGATTAGATTTCCGTCAACAGTCGTTTATCCGTAGTGCGTCTCCAGGGTTTAATCAGCGTTTGACAGGGAAGCAACATCAAGAGGTGTTTGTTCATAATATTGACACATGCACCGGCCAATTCAATCAATTCAAGATTGCCACTCTTACAGGTCAACAGCTGTGGATACAGACCACGCCTTGTTATGAGCCAATTTCTCCCTACGCCTGGCAAACAACGGTAGAAAAGCCACCGGCAGCGGATACCCACGATACAGCGTCCGCAATGGCTGCCAATCGCACTTCGAAGCACAGCTCTCCAATCACCTGTCAGTTCAACCACCGGTCGAAGGACTCGATGAATGCTGGAAGCAGATCAAAGAAACTCTGCACATATTAAAAATGACGTCGGACCCTGGCACAGATTCAAAACAAACAATGGATCTCGTCGACCTCGGCTGCCCTGCTGGAAACCCGCAGAACCCTGCCTCCGGATGCCACATATGACAGCGCAAAAATCCCTTAAACATTAGCTAATCAAGAGTCTAAGAAATGACCGCGAGAAGTAGTGAGTAGAGAAATGTAGAGAGATGGAGAAGGTTGTGGCTATCAGCAATAATCGCAATCTTTTCCTTCTAATGAGGAATACAGGTCCCAGGAAAGTAGGTGTAAGTGAGTTAATTAAGGAATCTGATGGCACATTGATTCTCGGTGGGCGAAGCCGTCTTGATTGATGAGCTGAACACCTCAGGGCTGAGTTCACCTGGCACCCATCGATATCTGATCTTTCACCCTTCACCTTGCCTGGGAAATTCTGCCAGTTGATGCTAGTCCTCCATCTGAGATGGAGGTTACCCGAGAGAAAAGTTATCTCAAAAGGCATAAGGCTTCCGGCCCCGGTGGGCTGTCCCCATCGGTTTTTAAGGATGGAGGTCTAGCCTTGGGCTCGGTGTGGGAGAGGGAAGAGGTTCCAACTGAATGGTGTGAATCAGTAATCATACCAATTTACAAGAAAGGCGAGGGGTCCTCCTGTGAAAACCATGGAAGAATTAGTTTAATCAACATTGCCTCAAAAATTCTCGCCAGTGTCATGCTCCGTCGATTATCCGCCGCACGTGAACGGTGCACGCGTGACAACCAGGCTGGTTTTAGAACCGGGCGACGTTATGTTGACCACATCTTCACTCCGTCAAATTCCGGAACATCGACATTCCTTTCGTAGATCCACTATCTCTGTTTTTCACAATTTGAAAGCGACTTTCGAATCAGTCGACCGCTCTAAACTTTGGCGCAGCCTTTCCCTGAAGGGTGTGCCCGAGACGTTTATTACTGATAGCCGAAGTCGAGTCCGGGCTTACGGCACCTTTTCGCCCGAGTTAACCACAGAAAGTGGCGTTCGTCAGGGTTACCCTCTCCTTTTGTATTCACCTTTGTTATAGATTTGATTATGGAAACAGCCATATCCTCCTGCGAGGAAAGTGGCATCGATTTACTCCCCGGTGGCAGACTGTCTTATTTAGAGTATGCAGACGACATTGTACTACTAAGTGAAGATGCAGGTGAGTTGCAAGCTTTTCTGGGCAGCTTAAATGCCAGTGTAACCATGTTCGGTATGCGTTTTACACCTTCCAAGTGCAAAATATTACTACAAGACTGGGTCGGTCCAGCACCGAGCCTCAATCACTGGAGAAGTAATAGAGCAAGTGGATAAGTTTTGTTATTTCGGCGGCTACATCTCACCCGGTGGACGCACCATGGATGAAGTGTCGGCGCGCATACCGAAGGCTCGATTGGCATTCGCCAACTTGAGACATCTGTGGCGCCGTCGCGACATCCGGTTGTCTGTAGAGAGTCGAGTGTATGCCGCAGCAGCTCGGCTAGTTCTGCTATATGGAGCAGAAACTTGAGAAAACAGGACAAAGATAGACTGTCGATGTTTGAACACCGCTGTCTACGTCACATTACACGAGTCTGGTGGGGTAACCGGACGAGCAGTGCTGAAGTTGGGTGTAGAGGTAATTGCAGTCGTCCACTGCAGCAAGTGGTCGACCTCCATAGATTACGTTGGTTGGGGCCTGTGTTACGCATGTCACCAAATAGGTTGCCACGGCGAGCGGTTTTTGTCGAGGCAGGTAGCGATTGTAAAAAGTTCAAGGGTGGCCAAGCTAACACCTGGCACGAGAGTATGAAAACCTTGACCAGGAGACTGGGTCACATAGGCCCTGTTGGGCTCCCTGGCTGGGGACCCCGAGATGGTCATCGATGGTTAGAGACACGGAGCGATATGGATGGGTTTCGCAAACAGTGGCGCTCATGCATCGATTCATTATTCTTGAAACCTCAGTCTAAATGAATTCTCCACCTTCCACTTGAATTCCAATATTCATTCTGCTCTTTTATCCAAACTGAGCACGGACAGCAATCAAAACCGGCGCACGAAAGTGCATGGTGAACTCTAAAAACCGTGTTAGCATAGCCAGAATGTTTGTAACTCGGGCGGCCTATTGAATTATTCATTCACTGAATGAGAAGCAAATACTCACCTATTGATAAACACTGAACAGTTATGTTTCAGAATTTTTTCAACTTTCTCCTTCATTTTTTGTTTTTCGGCGACTTCTAATTCAGCAACTTTTGATATGGCATCCACCTGAATTTTGCTACCAAACACTTTGATTTTGTCTGCATCCATAGGTGTATTTGCAATCAAAATCCGAGCGTTCTCCACACGTTTCGGTTGATTAACCCCGGGACGTTTGTCTAACAGGAAACCTTCGTCCAGGTATGAATCTGTCATCGTCCCACCAAGCTTTTGGATGATCTAGATCAAATGAAGAAAAAATAGACAAGTTGGAAATAACTTTCTCCTAAAGATTAACTAGCGACGGCAAAAAACGAATCCCAGCAATCGGCAATTAGCCCTATATTTACAGCCTGCGAACAAGCATTGTATCACCGCAACAAAAACTGAAAGGTTGGGATTCAAAACTAAGTGGACAGAGGATAACAAGGATAACGAGTTTTTTTGTTTGATTCAACGTACAGTGCGATAATTTTTGTATCACAAACACAACAATCAATAATTACCGGGATCTAAATTAGTCCAAGAAACGACACTTTGATACTGCAAATTAAAGCTGAATATGAATTATATCATCATAACGTTGTCGAAAAACGGGATTTCCGTGAACGATTTTACGTGGACCAAACCGGATTTCATAGAGAATCTTGAACAATTCAAAGTTTGCTGGTTAAAGAAATTAAGCTCTGCTGCTTGATTACAGACCCAGACAATAGCAGTATAAATTGTGATGAAGCCCAACAACCAACTTAAAACCCCTATGCACAAAAAATATTTCACTATAACAAGCTCATTTGATAGACAGCAGATGGCGCAAAATCCGTAGTCACCGGACAGGCTATACATTCATGGAAACAAGCAACCTGAGCACCGGTAACTGTGGTGGGGAACCACATGAGGCTCCACTAGGTAAGCCTTGGCATTGAGCCCTACAATGGCGAAACTGTTTACCGCCGAAGTCGAATGGAGACGGTGACAGGATTGGAACCTCTCACATTTGGGCCCCAAGCACGACACTAACAGCGAAATAAACCGTTCGACTGACACTATCAAGAAGTCAACGAACATATTGAATACAGTGGTTGAAGGTGGTATAACACGAATCAAAAACTCATTTCCAACCATCTGGATGGTTCGAAATCGGAGCGCTAACTAAGTAACCTACAAGTCAATACAACAGCTTGAGGCATGAAATTCGGGTATGCAGCATTTCACACTCTCTTATGTGATAATTTGGCCAACAGTATTCGGATAGAGAATTCGCTCCATTACTTTGAATGCACATGATCAATAACAGGAGAAATGACCAACCATCGCAGTGGTTTTTGTCTTGAAAGGAGTTCGACTCAGCAGACCGTGAAGCTCTTATAGGTTCCCTTCTTCGAAAAGGAATGCCCAGGAAGTACATTAACTTACTGAGATCACTGTACTCAATAGTCGAGTGAGGGTTTACAACGGACGAATTAGGCCGTTCGTCTCCAGCAGCGGCGTTCGTCAAGGGTGTCCTCTTTCACCATTGCTGTTTGATTTCGTCGTAGAGAGAAAGCACTAAGCGGTCTAATGGGAAGTTGCAGCAAAACTGCAACTTAGAGTACGCCGATGACATTGTCTGTCTGTTGGAATGTATGGGGGACGAGCACAGTGCACTTGATAGACCAACAAGTGCGGCTGCCACATTCGATATGTGCTTTACACCTTCAAAGTGCACAGTGATGCTGCAAGGCTGAGTGTTACCTACTCCCGCTCTGAAACTAAATGGGCAGGAATTAGTTGTAGTGGATTGCTATTCCTACTTAGGTAGTTGCGAGACCAATGACGATAGGGCAGCAAAGATAACCGCCTGCACATCCAAGGCTCGAGCAGTATACGCAGGACTGAAACGCCTTTGGCGTAGAGGCGACGTTTCACTGAAGTTCCAAGGTTGTATATATTGTGCTACTGTTCTTTCAGTTCTGCTTTATGGTTGAGACCCTGAATTTGCGAGTGGAAGATATCCGTCGACTGGAAGTTTTCGATTATCGGTGTTTACGTAGTTTAGCCCATGTGGGATGGCGCGAAC